ATTAAGTTCTCAAAAAGCGAGGATCATAAGAATCCCAAACTTTATCATGATGAATGTATGATTGATTGCATTCTATTTCCCTTTCTATTATCTATAAACCTATCAAATTACTATCTAGATGAATATCTTTAATTTTTTAGAATCAACTGAAACTTATCCTAATTGCTAATTTCCCATTATTTTAATTTAAAAATTCTATTATTAAATGTAAACAGTATTTTTATTATTTATAAATAATAAAAGCACTTTTAGATTAAAACAAAATTATTATAATTATCTTTTAAGAGATTCATTTATTTAATCATAAAAATATGTAATTTATTTAAACTTAGTTTTCTTAGAATTAGTTATTAATGATAAATAAAAGTATCTTGAAATATATTCTCATTTTTGTATTAAAAAAGGATTTCTTCATAAAATCTCTTAGGTTCGGTCAATTACTCAAATTTTCTATAAATTCTCTATCAATTCATTAGCACATAGAATTAGATTTAATAATTCTTTAAATAGGATTTAATAAAGTTTGCCTAAAATCCACTTTATTAGATTTCCTAAAGTAAATTTGTTGAATCATCAATTTCTTTAGATGTTATAAATTTGATTGTAATTTCATTTTAATTAATTTCTAAACAACCCCTAGAGTTATTTCACGAATTTCAATTCCTGTCCTGGCATATTCTATTTGATCAAAATCTATGTAAACTCCACAATTAGCTATTTTTAATGCGTGCTTAGATTCTCTTGAATTTCTTGTCTAACTCTTTAAATTCATTAGAACAATCTACTTTGCCAAAAATCAAAACACTGGGATTATTCATTGTTGATTTTGTCAAACCAATTTTTTAATAAATAATTAATTGAAATAATTATTATTAAAGAAATTATCTAATGTAATCTAACAAAAATGATATAACAATTAAGCTTCTTGTTGTTGGCGATGCTTCAGCAAGTAAAACTAATTTATTATTTAGGTATGCAAAGATTTATTAACATAGTTATATATAAAATTAGAATAAACCTGAAAACATGCCTTAAGTTTTTGATAATTTCACCTTGAAAATGAATGTGGGAAACACAACCGTGAATTTGAGTTTATCTGATGGTGCTGGTGGTGAAAAATTCATCAGATTAAGATCTTTAAATTATTTAAATAAAGATATTATTTTACTTCTATTTTCTGTAAGATAGAATCTTATAACAATATGCTTTTGAAAGTAATAGCTTTTTAAAAATATTAGTGGTATCCTGAAACTAATGAAGGAGATAATTATTAAATACCAAAAATTATAGTTGGTACTGATATAAAATCTACCGATGAAAGAAATAATTAACATAATATCGAATTATTTTAAGGGTCAACTAAAAGCTTAAGAATTTAGTCTGAAATATTTTGAATGTTCATTATTAACAAAGGAGGGCTTAGATTATATATTTTAAGAGGCGGTTACATAAGGATTACAAGCTCAATTATAAAACAAATAAACAAACTAATAGGAATACAACTAATTGAAAGCCAAAAATGAGTATAAGGAAAAACAAAAAAAAAATGTAGAATTTAATGAATTAATGAACAATAAAAGAATTAAATTTAAAATTTTTAATTAATTAATTATTTAATAATTAAAATAGTAAAATTTATTGCATCTTTTTATTATTCTTATATCTAATAAATTTGTTTTTAGATCATTTTATAAATACATAAATACAACTTATATAATGAGCAATCATTTAGTTTATTATTTATTTGCAATATTTGATGAAATTACTTTGAAATCCTTTATGATAAAATTCATTTATAACTTATATAAAATAATTTATTTAAAACTATTTATAACTGCTTTATTTACTTGTTCAAGAGATATGCTTAACATCTGGTTTTATTTGATATTAAAGTTCATGAAAAGATCCTGAAACAAATGCATATTATGTTTAAAAATCATTCGAAAAAACAATATTCTTTGTGTTTTAGCAGTCCTTAAACCAAAGATTTCAAAACCTCAAGATATTTTCTTGCTTTTATATAAGAAAGATATTAAAAGCTGAAGAGATTAAAAAAACCATTTATCACAGCTAATTATAGAACACACAAAATAGGAAATCTGCTGACTAAGATAATTATGAAAGTCTATTGAGAAATAACAACAAATTTAAGCCTTTCTTAATGAGTAAACAGAAGACTATATTTATATTTTGAAATATAACTTTTTGTAATATGATCCCCAATTAACATATCCATTACATATAGTAGTGATTTATGATTTATGATTTATTATTTAATTATAACTAGCAAGCTTTTACCTATCACCAAAGTTAGAATTATAAGCAACTGTTATAAATATTCTATTTGAAAAAATTGAAATATTTATAAAAATTAGAGTTTAAGCCACGTTTTATAATTTTTATATTCAATTGCTGATTAGAATAACACTGGTTTAAATTAATTTAGCCAGTAAAAGAGTATAAAGTTTTCAGTTTCAACTCAATTTCTATTAAGTTTAAACTATAGAGTTATATCACTGAATATCTTGATTATTAACATTTCATATCATATTCAATTACATTCTTATACTCATATTTATATAAATTGCTGTTCTCGTGCTATTGATAGTTTTGAGTGTTTATCAAAAATAAGACAATATAGTTAGACTACTTGTTAAATATAAAATTTAATAGTTAAGTTTCTCAATTTCTATTTGCTTAATTTTATCTATATTCTAATTTTTCTCAGAAAGACTTTTTAATTTTAACTGAAGATTTATACAATATGTCTACTAGATAACATTAGAAATAACAACAATATTTAAAGAATTATTAATAATAAATTAATTTTATTGAACTTAATTAATAATTTTTAAAATATCATAATTCAATCTCAACATTAATACCTTGGGTCTTGTGTTTAACTTTATAGCAAAAATAATATACAA